CCGTGAGATTTTGATTCATAATTCATCCCATTGCAATCACAGAAATATGCACTTTGAAAATAACCTTTCAATTTATTTTGAATCTATTTTCACCGCATACCACGATCGTCTCTGTATTGCCGACATATTTTACTCACACCCACGTTTACACCCACACTCCAAATCAAAGTAAGAGCAAATCTTCCACATGGTGACAAAATAATATTTTTTTTCTAAAAAGACTGTATTATTATACTGTTTGACTCAACGTTATAATAAAAATGTTGAAACAAGATCAATTTAAAAAAAAAAGACATTCATTTCAATTATTGTTGAACTTTTGTATTCGTTGATTTAGACTATCACTGACCTAAAGATTCCCATCTCGATCAAATGACAAGCCCTTAGGAGCATAGAGCTGATTCGATTAATTTCCTAGGTAAGTAATGTTAGCACCATATTCGTCTGTAGACTTGTGCTGATTCTCTAGTCGGTTGTGCTGACTGTAGAATTTTATTCTCCATCGGATGGTATAAGTTTCGGACAGGATCATAGAGTAAAAAATAGGGTATTTTCAAAAAATACACATTCTTCTCCCATGTAAACATTTTAGAAAACGAATATTTTCTGTTCAGATTCGCTTATATACCTGTGTTGATTCTCCAGTCACTTGTGCTAGGTGTTGAATTTCAAGCTCTATCGAATGATGCAATTCTTAACGGAGGTCATCGGGCAAAAAATTCGTCATTCGGCGTGGATCTGGGTGTGCTTGTGACTCTGGATGCAACCGTTCTTGACGGTGTCAGCCAACTATAGAGGATTTCCCATATATTTTGAATCTATTTTCACCGCATAGCACGATCGTCTCTGTATTGCCGACATATTTTACTCACACCCACGTTTACACCCACACCCAAATGCACAGTCAGCGGCGAACTTTTTGTCTAATGACTCCATTAAAAATTATACCACTCGATAGAGCATGAAATTCTGCATCTAGCACAATCAACTGCAGACTCAACACAGGTCTAGAGACGAATCCGGATAGGAAATACTCGAATCTGGGGCTAACATTACTTACGTCGTTGATTCGCGTGACTGCGACACATATTTAAAGTGGAAAAATTAAAAAGTCGACGTTAAAAGAAAAAAAAATGCCGCATTACAAAATGAAAATTATGAAAGATAAAAAGAAATTAAAAAGTCTAAAACCAATGAAAAAGGATAAAAATGTTAAAGCTGAAAAAAATTTTAAATTTTAAAAGATTAAAAATAAATTGAAAGGTTATTTTCAAAGTGCATATTTCTGTGATTGCAATGGGATGAATTATGAATCAAAATCTCATGGAACAAGGCTTGCAACAGATATCTAGAACAAAATATTTTTTGTACATATGGTTAAGTCCATTCTTGTAAAAATATCTAAATGTGGATAATTAAATGGAGAGATAACCCGAATTCTGTTGTCTTAGAAGTGGTATAATTTTCTATCTAATACTACGCTTTTTCGAAAGTTTTTCATGTTTTCGATGTTGGCATGGATATAGAAGGGTATGCACAATAAACTAACCTTATCGGTGTGAGTGTGACTTGAAGCATCATCTCTTGATACACATCCATACGATCAGAAACAAGAAGAAGTCAATCTCTACATATTGATCCACAACTTGTTAAGGCTAGTTCCTTTCCCACAAAACATCGATCTCAAACTAGAAATCTTAATTGTTACTTTCCAAGCGAAAAAAAGGGATGACAGGTTCAATCATTGGAAAAACGGGGTCTGTTTTTTGAAACAGTTTTTGATAATGATAATAATAATGCTTAATTTAAAAAACGAGCTTCCATAGGTCCTGCAGTTTTGAAAGTTCTTTCAAACAAAAAAAAATGATTTTATATTGTAATGTTTAGTAAAACATTTATCTAAAATTTCGGTTTTTTTTTAACGAAATTCGAAATTATGAGGAGGGGAGGTAATCTTAAGTTTATTATAATGTTGTTTTTCTAAGGAAGAGCTGATCAAATTTGAGAAGATTTAATAGTAAATGAATAAAACATGTTTAGATCCGTCGTTATTCGATAAGGATTATTTTACATAATGAATTTGAAGAAACATATTTCGTTTGAGTATAACTTATTTCATTCAATGATAAATTCTTCATTAATTTAACATAAAGTTTAAAAAACAAATATTTACCTAATAAAGTTGTATATGGTTGTTGATATCGACATTTTCTAATTAATTCTAATGAATATCCATATATTGCAACAACACAAGATGAATAATAAAGATCTTTCCACCATTCAGTCGACATTTGACAAGGACGAATTCGTTCTAATGATGAACCATAATAATCCAATTCATCGATATATTGTATTGTTACAAGAAAGACTTGTTGTTGCAAAACGTTTTTGCTGGTTTTTATATAAAATTCTTCTTTTAGCGTATTTAAAGATTTATGTTCAAATTTTGATCTTGTTATTGAATCTGATAAAGATGCAACTGCTGCAAAAGGTGGATATTAAATAAATAACTAAAGACGATTGCATTTATTTAAGTCAAATTTATTTTTATGCTTTTTAATCAAAATTGAATTATTTTCATCAAAAGAAATAAAAGTTGCTAAATTTGTCCATTTATTTGACAAATATTTTCTATAAGATGCTAATTTACTATATTTATTATAACAACATAAAACGGTTTCTTCAGCTAAGTCATCTTTTTTCCCGATGATCACGATTAGCCTTCTTTCTCAGATAATATTAGTTGATTAAAATAAACTATTGGCATATTGTAATAGTTGTGCATCGATTTCATTAGTTTTGGAGAAAATAAATGAATCAATGAATATATCATCGAGGAACTTTTACATTTTAGAATCCCAAACAATCATCTTTTTCGTCTTCACTCAAATTTTTCTGCTTGTGCTGGACCAATCAGATGTATGGAGTCCCAAGATGTAATAAATCAAATCATCTAACACAGCGGTGTGGGTGTGGGGTGTGGGTGTGGGTGTGGGTGTGGGTGGATGTGGGAAAGAGAATGACCCCACATCCATAGTCACACTCACATCCCGTATCCACTCACCCCACCCATCCACACCAACACCGATACCCACCCCCACATTTGTGCTTGTACTTGTTGTACTGATACTGATGCTATGTTTGCTTAACTCTTTAGCTACGGGAGTATCATATACGATACCTAATTGTTAGTGGTGATGTCGGTCCAGCTAACTATGGAAAATCTGTCGATTGTCTTTATCTCTTTGGAATGATGGGTTTCTTCTGTACTATCTACTCTTCGCCGTGATATACAATAAGGTGAATAAATATATGTTTTAACATCGAACACATTTTTCGTAGAA